AAAAACGGGAGACCCAAAGATAGGGCTGAGTGTGAAAAATAAACTCGAAGAATTTTTGACCAGGCATAGCAAAAGCAGAAATCTTGCTCACTAGTCGTGAGTTAAAACGGTGACCACTGTACAAATGCGCTGGCTATGTTCCATTACTATTAGCATGTATGTAGCCATAAAATTGGACCACTAAAAATCCTTCACTCACCACATGGAGGAGTTAAAATCCAATGAACCTATATTAATCTAATTTAATTTTTACCTGTAAAATAATTATTATGCTAGTGTACCAGATCACATGTACTAGCTTTTATGGGCTAAAAACTACATTCATAGTAGCATAATTTATATGCAGAAACGAACATATGATATGAAGTAGAAAAATATGATATCCCATTTATATATAATTTCATAATGCGCGAAATTTAAGTGACAGTTTTGCACGTTTCGTAATTTTATGTGACAAAATATTATTCCTTGTAATATGACTCGGATAAAAATTATATCAAATAGCTTAGGTTTGAATTGCCATAAATACGCTGTGTAATATTTAAGCCATTTCATAAAAATCTATTTATTATCTTTTTTTTTTTTCTATAATTTGCATTTATCTACTTTTCAAATTTTGTGTTTTGTCCATATTTTTTTCTTATGCGTTGTTAATACATGTATTATAAATGAAACTAATAATGTATTTAAGTTACTCTTCAGAATTTCAAATAAAATAGTTAATTCACTTAGATCTTTATTATAAATTGTTATATATTGGTCCTTATTTATTTTTCCATCTTCAAAAAATATAAATGCATTTATTTTTTATTTTATGTTGTATATTTAATTATTTTATTAAACACTCGTGTACGCATGTGTCGTAGATAAGGCAATGAATTTCAAAAAATTTGTGACATTTGCTTAGTTATCTATTTTTTATACGTTTTATATTATGTACCTCTGAACTTATTGCCTAAATAATTATTGACGTTTTAATTAATTGCATAAACGCTCAGTGAGTTGTAGATGAGTTGTGTATATTACGAGTGTAAACGAGTAGGTCGAGCTTCAGCTAGCGAGTCGAGTTCTACTCATTAACAGGCCGAATTCAAACTTTAATGAGTCAAATTATAGAAAATCACATGAAAAATCATCATTTCGAGTTTTAACCGGCCAACCCGAGCTCACGAGCGACTCATTTTATTTAACATGAACTTGATAAACATAAAACTGTATCGTAAAATGTAAATTGTCTCTACAAATACTATTGTGAGATCCTAAGTGTTAAACAATCATACTTTGTTGCAAAATAAAATATAGTTTTATCTATATAAATATTGTTGTTAGACAACCTGACCAATTTAACAATCATATTGTGTTGCAAAATGTTTTATTTCGTATTTTAGTATGACAATTATACTACATTTAGGGTGTGTTTGTATACAATTTTACTCAACTCATACTCAATCAATACTCAAAATCTAACTCACTTCTACAATTCCACTATCCTCAATATTATCAAGATAATTAAATAATATCAAACAATCATTCTTACAAACCATATCAATTTTAATTCACTATTCATCTACTCACATAATTTTAGCGATCACTTCACATCATCTCTCTCTTACTTTTACATCAAATCAACTGTAATTATTTTATTTTAAATATTATTTTAATACAAACTCAAATCCCACTAATAACTAACTATGCCACTTTTTTTTTTTAAATAATCATAATTAACAAAAAAAACTCGTTTTGATCGGATATATTTGTATACAAACACACCCTTCGTATGTACTGTTATTGTTATTTTCTAACTAGTCAAATCCATCAAGACATTCCTCACCATTGTATCTTTTGAGCATATATACCAAGGTTTGGAATATATATCTACTAACTACTTCAATTTTCATTTTTTTTTATTAATACAAATATCTAAGGTGCAGTATACGTTACTTTGGAAGAAAATTAATTGTAGAAAAATAAGTTGAAGAGTGATTCTTCAAAAATAAATTAAAATATAATAATTGAAGTTGATTGTGTTGAAAAAAGTTCCCAACAGATTGTCAATAGAAAAATATAAAACGATAATTGTAATAATTGATAATTTAAAATATATAAATGAATAAATATAATTTTTTATTGCAAAATGTGCAACAATAATTAAATTATTTGTGCTGATAAAATTGAAGTGAGAAAAGTAGGAGGATAAGAATAGTGTTCTTTTAAAAAAAAAATTATATCCAAT